AATTCAAGAACAACCTGGTAGACCATGCTAACTACCCATCTTCTTGGTCTAATGACAACTGTTGCAATTGATTTGGTGTAGTCTGTGATAACTTCACCCACCACATCAAGGAGCTTCACCTCCGTGGACCTGATGATGATGAAAACGAAGAAGCAACAAAACAAATGTTAGGATAAATCACAAGAGTACTTGATATGAGTCCAATTTACAAGAACACAATGTGCAAATTGTGTATGGGTGATATAAAAAGGGAACGATTGCACAACGAGATGTGAGAGATAAGGAGAGTGAAGAGTGATTAACAAAACCTGAGCTGGTGATTGTATTTTGTCTTAGGTTATGCCATTGCTGAGCTCTTCCTCGATCGTTGAAGCAGTATATTCGTGTACAAAGTAAGGGACGAAAAAAATTATTTCCAAATTGAAGGAATGAACTGCATATTGATTCCAACTTAATCAAATTCAGTTCTAATGAAGGCATCATTGAACACCGAATCAAAACGTCATAGTGAACCATTAGTTCCATTCTAGTTAACAGTAAAACATGTGCTTTGGAGGTATTTGATTCAGTGTTATGCATACAAAATTTTAATGGTGTACCTTCCTAATTTAATGGCTCCAAATTTGATCATAAGATGTTAAAATAGTTAATGATCTCAATGAAACTTTTTATATATATATATATATATATATATATATATATATATATATATATATATATATATAATAGAAATGTTAGAAACTCATAATAAACTATTCATAGTAAATGTAGTTTTTCACATTGCAAGCAAGAAAATATGAATATTTACAATGGAAATTGAAACATACAAAAAATGTATTTGAATGACCTATAAACTATTTTATGGTATTTTACATGTTTTTAAGTTTTCATCTATTTTTACCGAACATTCATATATAATTAAAAAAATCTACACATTGACAATTAGATTGAAGTTAAGGATGAAAATACATTTATTTTTTTGAATGGTAGGCTATTTAAAAGTTAAAGTATATGTGAAATTGAATTTTAGAAAACTCGTTTTAGAGTACTTAATTTTTACGTAAAAACCTTAAAACCAACTTTTGGTTATTGAAAAGTTTGCTCGACAAACAACAATGTTTCACATAATACAACATTATAGCGACAGATTTGTGAATTATATGTCGGTGTTCGTGAACTCGACATAAATGTTTATAAATTTCATTAAATACACAAATTATACGATGGAATTCACGAAAAATCCTTTTAAATATAGTATTTATGAAATTTGTCGTAATATTATTACAATACATTATATCAAAAGCTATTTTGGATTTAAATCATTAATTACATATGCTTGGAGATAGAATTTAATTAATGAATGAAAAAGAAAACATATATTGGTGTTAGTACATTTATTTATCATTTTAAGCGTGCTATTTAAATTTATAATATTTACAAAAATACATTATTCTATTGAAGTTTTCTATCATTTTAATTTGATTAACAAAGTTTTCTTCACCTATATTCTCTCACAATATCTCTCTCTCTCTCTCTCTCTCTCTCTATATATATATATATATATATATATATATATATATATATATATATATATATATATATATATATATATATATATATATAAAATAGTTTATTTGAGACTATGTTAATTTTGTAAAATATAAGGATGCGATTCTACCCATTAATCTTGGAGATCAAAAAATGAGAAATAAATCAAAAAGGAAAAATAAAAAAAATATTTAATTATTATTTCTATTAATTTATTTACCAAAAAAAATAAAAAAAAAATAAAAACTTAACGTCTTTTAATTATACATGAAATATTCTAATAAAATATTACGCAGTAAATATTCGAATGAAATTCATTAAATGTTAGAATATTGTAGCATTTTACTAAAATTGTTAGATAGGTTAATATATTCTAATATTTTATTAAATTGTTAGAATTTATAGTATATTCTATTAAAATTATTTTATATTTGTAGTCTAATATTCTAGTAGCATATCTGAATATTTTAAAAGTTTGGTTGTAATTTTTATATTAGAATATTCTATTAAAAGTATTTCATAGATATTAAAAAAAGGTAATTTTTTTTATTCTTTATTTTTTATATTTTTTTGGAAAATACAAATAATGAAAATAATATTTTTTTTTTGAAATCTTTTAATTATTTTGCATTTTAATTTTTTTAATCTCCAAAATAATTGGATATGATTACTTCCACATATCTCATAAATATAGTAGTTTGAAATAAACTTAACTCTCTCTCTCTCTCTCTCTCTCTCTCTCTATATATATATATATATATATATATATATATATATATATATATATATATATATATATATATATATATATATATATATATATATATATATATATAACAAGTTAGACCTCTATATTCAACACCAATCTTATGTTAATGAAAAATAAATCAAACATTTTAGTGGTACACTAATTATGATCTTTATCTGTACTTTAATAATATAACAAAAGTTAGTAGGGTTAAATAAAAATTTTAGTGATAAAGAATTTATTTTTTCATTATTAAAATTGAATTTTTTTTAGTGTAAAATTTTAATATGTCGTGGAAGTGAGAACTTTAGTGTTCAAAAATTGCATTTCGGCATTTTTATTGTTTTGTAATTAAAGTTGGTCTAAAAAACCAAATCTTGATAAAAAAAACCAAATTTTGATAAAATATATGAGAAATAATTTAAATAGTGAAATCAAATTTATCAAAAAAGCGTTATTTATATGAGGTCAATTATTTTGTAACCATAATAGTCAACCGTTTATAAATCTCTAAACATTGAGTTTTATTATTATTATTATTTGTTCAACAGGTAGAATTTTTTCTTATATTTCTTATCGTTTGTACTAAAAAAACATAACAAGTTATAAAAATTAATAAATACCATTATCTAAAATATTTTAGTAATAAAAGATTTTTATAGCCACAAATTAATATAAATATTACATTGGCCTAATATAGTTTTGTTTTTTGATATTTGATTTAATAACTAGATGGGGAACCCCGCGTTGCGGAGGTCGAATGTAACAATTTTTTCCGTTGTTTGTTCTTTGAAAATGTTTATAGTTAGAGTTGCTCATTCATTTCCTCTTTAACTGATCTATAAATAAATAAATAAATAAATAAATAAATAATAAAAAAACATCAATGAATCTGTAAGCAAAATTAATAAAGTGATAATTAAACGAAAACATAGGAACTTATAATGCCACAAATAACCAAAGAAAGTAGAGGGATCAAAAAAGACAAAAAGGAAGCAACTTTAAAATGACCCAAATATAGTTAAGTAGCCATTCCTGCAAAAAAAATATTAATATTGTAACAACCCAAAAATTTTAAAAGAAATTCAAACTTTCCAAAAACCATTTTTACACTATTAAAAGTTATTCAAACAACAACAAGTTCTAATCGCATTCCAAATGTTTTCATATCAGAGTTCCCAGAAATCCAGAATCATAAAAACGGAGATGTGTACGTCACGCTTTCGCCTTGCCATGGTCAATTGATGTACCTGAAACAATAAACTCGAAGGCTTAGTGAGTTACCCCCAATATACCAACCTCTAGCATCCAATAAAATAATAATAACTAACAGCATGCATAATGAGCCTTCAGCATGACTGGACCACCTCCCACGGGCCTACAGCCTATCTGGACCGCTCTTGAGCCTTCGACATGACTTGACCGCCTCCTATGGGCCTACAGCCTATCCAAACTGCTCCGGGTATGTTGGCCTCAACCGCACAAAACAGGATACCGCCTCAACCCAACCCACCCATATATGTCGACATATAAATAACACGTAATCATACAATAAGCACAGATCACACTAACTGCTAAACATAGTACCATTCTATCCATCAAGGTACCAATCCAACTGATCATGAATATGGAATACATACTAACTCCAGGATAAAATCCTAAAGGACCGACCTAGTGTCGTAGACCCTGATGGTATAGTGAGGAGAACTCACCTAGCAATAGTGCAGAACTGAACTGAGAGTCTTCAACTACTACGCTCGACACCCTCGACTGAGAGATAAAGAATACAAATTAATCAACTAGACCAAAATTGTCCAAATCTATTATTAGCCCAATTTATTAAATTGGGCCCATCACTCTATTGGGCCTACACGAAACCTACAAGTCCAACCTGGCCCAAACAACATTATATTCATAGCCCATTAACGGATTAACCCAATTGACCCATAACCGACCCAAAGCATAAAGCCCACAAGCCAAAAGTCCAATAGGGAGCGTACGCGGGGCATACCACCCAGTTACACTGGACGTAGTGTAGTTCTTTGTTGACCATCATTGGGACCGCTGACCACGTACGCTGGGCGTACAGATATTACGCGGGGCATACACGAGGATTTACCAAGGTCTTAATAAGTGCTTAATGGGTTGAGCTCTTGAACCCATATTCCAGATCCAGTGACCAAATATGCCATACAATCATAAAGTTTCGGACTTTATCACTTTGGACGTCCAAAAAGTCCTTAACTCATAGTCTTAATCCATTAAGACCTTCTTATCACATGCATGGATCAAGTTTGGCTAAAAAGAACCGATTTTTATCACTTAAGGCCTCTCAAAACATCTGAGTTAATATATATATATATATATATATATATATATATATATATATATATATATATATATATATATAATAGTAATAACAATAATAATTGATTGGTCTAATATAGTTAAGTTATTAAACATTGTTAAAATAACAGAGCGCAAATTACACAAATATCCATCTTGCTGTTCTTCCTCCACGTTCTCCTTTCGCTCTCTCTCCATTTATAAGCAATTCATTTCGTGTACTTCCAGTAAACGCTTGACCCAATCCAATTTTGACCCTCCATCGCCATCTTCATCTCCTGCGCCTCCTCCGCCTTAAAACGGTGGTGCTACACCGCTGCACCTTTCTCACGATATACTCCACACCAAATTTCGGAGAATGTCTCTTTCTAAACGAGTCTCATTATCTCCTCAATCACCGGCACAACCTCAACAAGATCTCAAGCACCGAGTGATCACTTGCCTCAACAAGCTCTCCGACCGTGATACGCTTGCCGTTGCTGCGACGGAGCTGGAGTCTATCGCTCTCAGCCTCAATCATGACTCTTTTGCGCCTTTCCTCACTTACCTCTCGGCTACGTCGTCGTCTGACAAGTCGCCTGTACGGAGGCAATGCGTCCGTATCTTGGGTGTTCTCTCAATAACTCACGGTGATGCTTTGTCACCACACGTTTCTAAAATGCTTGCCGCCGTAGTTCGCCGCCTCCGTGACCCTGATTCCGCTGTCCGGTCTGCCTGCGTTGGAGCTGTGTCGTCCATTGCATCGGAAATCTCTAAACCGTCCTTCTCTTCGTTGTCAAAGCCGTTAGTGGAAGCCGTTCTGACAGAACAGGATCAGAACTCTCAGATCGGCTCGGCGTTGTGTCTGTCGGCGGCGATAGAGGCGTCGCCGGATCCTGAACCGGCACAGTTGCAAAAGCTATTGCCTAGGGTTTTGAAATTGATTAAATCCGATGGGTTCAAAGCTAAACCTGCGTTGTTAACTGTTATCGGCAGCATTGCTGCAGCTGGTGGCGCCTCTTCTAACCGGAATTCATTTAATTCCTTGATTCCGTGCTTGGTTGACTTTCTGAGTAGTGATGATTGGGCGGCGAGGAAAGCGGCAGTTGAGGCGTTAGGAAGGTTGGCAGTGGTGGAGAAGGTTCACTTGACAGCTTTCAGATCATCATGTCTTGCGTCTTTAGAGAATAAGAGATTCGATAAGGTATCAACTGTCAAATCATACTATTTCAATTTCATATGAATATTCTATATACGGTCGGTGTAAAATCATTTCAGGAATCGAGCAATTTCTTTTACTAATGGCTTCAATTTGATTAACAAATGCAACAGGTGAAGGTAGTTCGTGAATCGATGAATCAGACATTAGAGTTGTGGAAGGAGATTCCAGGGCATCTAGATGAAGTTCCTGTTTCACCTCAACTGAATGCCAATTCATCTTCTAAAGGTAAACTGTTTTTGTGATTGATTCGAAAAAATCCAAGCTTACTGGGATGAAATCTTCCTAAAACCTTCTTGACACATCAATTAGTTGTTGCTTATCTTTTGGTTAGGTATTCGTATTATTTTTCATTTTGTTCAATCATGGTGGTTGG